TAGGACCATGGACGTGGTACATTCCCAGACGTTTCGCCGGCATCGTCAGTGAGTCTCGCCATTCGTAGCATCATATTAGAATTCGTCAAAGAGACAAGTGAAGCCCATCCCTTGACCAAACGTGTGCTAAGCAGTTGTGGTCTCTCCCCTTCTGCCCTGGGCTATTCACATTTCCTATATCTTTCTATCACGCCTTCACTTTTACAATTTTACCGTGCTTATTTAGATGTTGTGTAGTGTGCTCCTTCGAGTGGCATTCATTAAAACCCTTCACATTCAACACTTTCGTTATCACTGTACTAGAAATGTTGACCAGAGTCTGTCATTGTTACGTAGTCCTTCCCTGGGTCCTATCAAAGTTCCCCTCTTGCCCCGTAGAATCCGTCTGCTATCTCCCTGGTACATGTATTTCACTCGACCCCTGTCCCCCCATCCGTACTATTCGAGGCGTAATTCGTCCATCCCCTGCACCTGGGTGATTGATTAGAGGCAAAGCCTCAGAGTAAGTCTTATGGTCATGCCTTTGCTACATGGACCACGTCTCTTGTAAAACCTACTAACAGCCAACTAGCTCCAATCGCCGCCTCGTCTATCCTGTCTCTATCCCTAATACTTAGTTATATTGGCTATCACAATCGACCACATTACTTATTTTTTATTTAGGACTAAGCCTTCGAGGCATCTCATGTAACTTATATATTGGTAGTCTCTAAACCAAACTCGCAACCCAAAAATAAATAATGTAGTCGATTTTTATAGCAAATATAATTGTTATTCATCGACATTCCTACCCCCCACTGACTTAGTTGGTTAATTTCTCTTTTCTCCATGTATTAAAATGGTTAATGCTTTTTTATGGACCATAGAACGTGCTTTTTATTTGATGAATGACCTGTGATAATATAATTTTAGGGTGTGACATGGCGTGTAGTTGCATCTACGTAGACATGCATGCTCAAGCATCAGTAGGATTGTCAGCCCTGACCGAGACTACGTAATTCCGTGAGCATCTAAGGTTGAGATAATAAGATATAAGTCAGATTATAAAACGACCTCTTATTATAGGTACATTAAAGGTTTAAAATTCAAGGAAAGGCTCGGCTGAGGCTGCATATTCTCGTACACCTGGCTTGGTTGATGAGTTTTATCTAAAATATTGAACAAGTGTGAGGGAAGATAGAAGCATCATCGCGCGGACGAGTTGAGTCGCCTTCTTTTAGGTGGCGTCTCTTCACCCTCTCTCCCTTTCAATCTGTAAATCAAGCATAAGTATTTCTAACTCGACTTTCTTCCATCGTTCCTCACATTCAACATACTTCCTAATCTATTAGTTTCGATAGCCTCTCTTATCTTACTTTTGACAGCAGAAATATCATAATAGGCAAACCTACTCGTTTGATGCCATTATATCTAATGCCCAGTCTCTGGCCTGCGTGTTCGGCCACTTTTGACCTTTGGACCCAAAGATAGGCAAGCCAAAACCTTTTCTCGCTTCTAGAGAGACATTGGTTCCATATCAGGCTTTTATTAAATAATTTTCACAGAATCGTGTTTAGAGTGGAGAGGTCCGTTGCCACTTCTCTAAATGGTAGCGGAGCATGAAATTACTTTATAGACCTATTCCACTATTCAGAAGTGAATGAGTAGATGGTGGAAACTGGATACAGTATTGAATGGTCTCAGATTAACATTTTTAGCTTATTAAGGTAGGTATGCTGTTATGCTTGGAACCGCGATTTCACGATTTAAAATGCATTATTAAAATTTGGTAACTTCGTATATTTTATGTTCTCTGTATTAACTTGAATTACCACACAACTACTCATACACCCAGATATACATTCACACAGAATTAAAATATATAGATTGATTGATAGATTGATGATTAGAATTAGGAGATTCATTTTACACCTAAAATTAGGC